ATGATACATAGAATTAATTCAGCAATATTTTTAAGGATTAAATTCCATAATACAAGCACATGTATTAAGAACTAAGAAATCTGACAAATTATTTGAGACATTTGACGAGTGGAACATATAAAGCAAGGGTTCAGCGTCAGGCAGCATTCTAAACTAAGATACAATTATGCAATGCTTCATGGTAGAATTTTGAAGGTGTTATAAAAAAAAATACTACAACAAAGACATTTTCAAAATTTTGATCATGAATCCTTAAATTTTACATTCATTGTATGCATGGAAATAACGCTAGATTAAGATATTAATTTGAAAGAACAGTTTTATTATTTTTGCAATCAGCTATTGTCTTGATTTTATCAAGGCTGAACCTGTGATTATTCTTTATATATGAGGCTCAGATTTGTACATTTAGAAATGTGAACATGCAGACCATATGCTTGTGCTTAGCATGCTTAGTAAGCCATAAACTGGAACGCTATAGGAATTATTCCTTGTTTATAGTTTAAATATACTTAGCTTAATTATTTTTACTTAAGGAAATTTTTCTCTGAACAGGATTTTGGCAATTTTAAATTTGTAAGTGTTATTTCCTTTTTTATGCATTCATGAATTGTGAACAATTCGTCAAATCTATTTTTAGTGAAATCCGTGACTATGTCGTTTAATGCCCTATTGTGTGTTTTATTTTTATATGGCGAATTCATTCATTGATGGTTTATTCTTTATCTGATTCCCGTGGAACTGGGTCCAATGAATAATTGAACCCTTGTACCAGCTGTGTTGTTCTACATCTATATAACACGGTCACAATATGAAATATATATTTATGTTATCAAAATATATGTTTTTTTTTCTAATTGTATACGTGGATTGTTTGTTCACAGGAAGCTGAAAAGGCCAAGGTGAAACAAAAAAGTAAAATATGGAAACCAGACTAAAAAAGCCTGAAATAAAGATTTCACCAGGTTATCAAAGCTGATAAAAAGATTGAACCAGTTTATAGCAGCCGAAATAAAAATTGAACCAGTCTTTATAAGAGGTGAAATAGTTTGAAACAGTCTATGAACACATATGTAACAGATGAATTATGTCAGTGATTAACTTATGTGTAAAACGTTTATATCTGCATATAAATCTCGTAAGGAGAATGTTAAGAACAAGTAAGACTGATCCATGTAATTCGTTGATAACACCGTTGATAACACCGTAACGTTAACAATGAAGACTTGACTGTTGTTTTCAATAATTCATACTGCTTTGGATCATATAAGTTTTGTAAAAAGTAGAGCACCCGCTTAGTTCAGAAGAATTCTCACATTATGGTTCACATACTTCGAGTAAATTAAGGATCGTTAAATCTCTCTGAGCTGGTAAAATGAAATGTCAAATTCAGTACAGACTTAATTTTGAGATCAATAAATACTTTGATTTCTTTTCGTTGCATGCATTTGGTTTACAAGGCCGTAGACAAGAATTCAATACCCCAATCATTACCCCTCAGCTAGTACCACCCTCAAAGCGGACTACATGTAAAGTAGCCCCTTTGGTGGAGTTCCTGTCCTGCCACCAGTGGGAGCAAGAGAATCGCCCGTCCAGAGGACAGACTTCCCCGCTGTTAGTTATAGGGTCTCAGCTCTTAATATGTATGAGGACAACTATATATTTTTCTTTGTTAACATTTAGAATTTTAGATGAGAATTGCTCAATTTACTTCTAGAATTTAAGATGAGATTCCTCAATTAATTTCTTATGAAATAAAAAATTCCATTTAGTTAAAAGGTTAACCATATATAACTTCATTCAGCAACTTGCACTACCTTATGACCCCTAATTCCTAATAATTCCTCTGCTATCATTTGCCCCCTAATTATTGTATAATTTCTCTGCTATCAGCTGACTCTAATTATTGTATGATCCTCTGAAATCAGCTGACACCTTAATATTGTAATTTCTCTCCTATCAGCTGACCCTTCAGTGGGTTGTGAACCCTGTGGACAAGATGAAGTATGATCAGATGTTTAAGGCGGCTGATACAGACTTGGATGATTTTGTATCAGGGGAGGAAATCCACAGAGTGGTCTTCCCAATACAACACTGGCTCACATCTGGGGAGTGAGAGATGATATTTGTTAGGGCTGGGTATCATTTGGGGATTGCAATATATTGCGATATTTCAAATGTATGGCGATATGTTTTGCATTTGCAACTGTAATTTACAGTTAAAATGCTCTTATCTTACTTTATTAAAATCCATTCATTATCAGAGTGTACAATACTTTTATCAATACATTATACATGTAAGTCTTAATGACACGAACTGTGGTCTCCAGTTCAAAATTTTACCCTATATAACTTAGCAAATTTACTCTTGATGTCTCAAAAATCTTGATCCCTCAAAGTCAAAATGCAGTCCTGCTATACATATTCTGCTGGAATTTACCCTCGATACGTTACGGTTGGGGTTTTATAATTGCAACACTACGTGGACATTTAAATAGCTCCAGGCAGAAGATGCGGGTTTTGAAAAACGGGATGTTTATTCAGCTGACACTTATATTGCAAGGTGATAATTAATTCATAATTAATCATATGTTTTGAAATAATTATCATCGACTAGAAGCAGTTTAAAGGGAAAATGGTAATTGATTCCAAGACGAAATAATAAAATTTTTTTTATTTCGAGGCAATTTCAATGTTTAATAAAATGTGAAGATATAGAAACTATGACGACTTTTGTAGGACAAATGCTTAGAAAACTTCGATAAATGATCATGTTTGGAAAAGTTAATGCTATGTACGACTTTGTATAATGTCGTTTTCATATGAATTATGTGTAGTACGATGACCCTATTACAAGAAATAAATAAATAAACATAAAATGACGATTTAGATTTTTTACTTTACTCAGTTTAATATTTATCTATAATAGGAAAACAAATCGTTGTTTTATAAAAGCAGGTGTAAAAGGTTAGTACCGCATGAAAATATTAATCCGATAAGACTAATGGTAAAACCAGTCAACAAACCCAATAGGCGTCCGCTGGAAGCAAATTTGGAGGGGGGGGGGGCTAAACTAACAAAAAAGGAAAAAATCCAATTTTCAATGTCTATATTTTGTATATATTTGCAAAAAAAATAACCCCCGCCCCAGCCCCGGTTTCGACGCCCATGAACCCAGAAAACTCCAGACTCTTGAAAACTCAAACTCTTGATCTCTCAAAGTTTTTTCTTCCGTCCCGCAGGCTTCGAGGCATTCATACTTCCCGTGTGTATTGATTGTGACAAAATCTTTCAACTTATATAAATATTTTTGACCTTTTGAACTTGAATTACGAGTTTTATCTACTTTTTAAAAGATGTTAACCTTGGCTAAAACTTTTGAACAGGTAGAATTTGGGCTTTCATATTTCACATGTGTATTCCATGTGACAAGACCTTTCTTTGGATACCAACAATTTTGATTTTGGAGTTTAACTTGCATTTTAGAAACTTCAACCTTTTCCATACAGGGGCATCAGTGTTTCACAAACACATCTTGTGGGAGAATAAAATTCTATTCATCATGTGTGATATTAAAGGAAATGAAAGTAATAAGAATTTACTGAAATAAATAATCCCTTCACAAATTTTATTTACAAGCAAGAAACTCAATTAAAAACAACAAATTTAATTTACGAAACAATGATAAGATTTTCTTTACAATAATGTACATAGTGGGTTTTCATAGGAATAAAAAAAATCCCATTTCTTTTGATAATAAGCAAACGTAATATTAATAGCTAGCTGCTGGTCTGTAGCATGCTGGTTTAAAAAAAAATTGGGATGGACGACCCACAGTGCCACCCATTGAAAAAGAGTATATTTATTTCACACAAAAAAGTGCGCTGTTTCTCGATTTTTTCTCAATATATCTTAGCTGCCATCTTTAAAAATATATTTCAAAATGTGTGTTTCCAAGATATGTTTTCACTACTTCCGCAACAAAACATTTCCCAAAACTGCAAGTAAATTCACTCCAACACATTTCGTTCATGACTTGTACATAGAGTTTTATTGTGTAAGTAGAAGAAGAATAATATGTAAGGAACCCACAGTTAGGAATATTTATATATATTATATAAAATTGCATAATTCCTATCATTCTGATGGGCTGAGATCCAACTATGTAGAAAAAATACTACGTTATATTTACCTGCACGTGACGTTCCAGGTGAATATAAGGATTTATTTTCTCTACATTGATCTGAAAATAGATTGGGAAATTCCAATTTGATACAAATATTTTTGAAATGCTTTTACACCTGCTGTCGACTTTAACTCATGTAAACATAATACTAATATTAGGTGGATATATAATTTGTGGTGGTGGTTTCTTGACCCTCCCCCTCCCTCTGATACTTTTTCTTAACAAAATGATTGACTTTTTAAAGCTGTCAGTTCTTCCTAATACATGTAATCCCCCATCCTTTCAAATCTATCATAAAAGAGCCTGACATTATTTTTTTCTTTCATGGTCACAAAAATAGATTAAAACATTTGAATTTAATACGACTGGTGAGGTTTATTTACATTGTAACTCTGCTTCTCTCTTTATACTTAGTTGGTTTGGACTTCAACAAATGCAAACGAGTAATGAGCTGTATCATTTATTCATTGAATCATTTAATACAACAATTATAGCAGCTGCTGTTTTTTTCAGTCAATACGACAATTTAGCCACCTCTGAAGAACAATATTATACTCTAGGTGACTAAATCATTTTATTGTCCTAAGAAACAGCAATAGTTGTATTATATTCGAAAAAATAAATTGAAAAGCAGAGCAGTTTATCGTGCGCATTAAATAGACACTTATTTCAATGGATGGCACTGTAGCTCTTTTGTCATTAGTCCCAAATTTTTCAGACAAGCAAGCTACAGACATGCAGCTATATCAATACCATGCTAAAAATGAAAAGAAGAAATTCCAAGGGTGAGAGGGGGTGAGATTTTCTTTCTTTCTTAAAAGAAAAGTTCTGAGGTGCTGAACTTTGATAGGTAACTATCTTGATAAATTATCGTGAGAATTATTGATTTCTGTACATGAGTGTCATGATTTCTTGTATCCTCATCAATGTAGCAGTTTGTATGTAATTTGATGTATGTCTGAGAGATTGTTGATAGGAGTACAGAGCAGCTTGCTTGATGGTTCCCTGTCACCTGTTGACAGATCCCTAGAATCTCCCAGCATATGTCTCTGTACTTTACAGGTGCATATTTCCCCTGATCATGGTAAACCAGGTCCTGTAGATTATCTAGAGCTGTTTGTGCTCTCAGTGGGTCTACATGTCTATAACACAATGTCTCTAACATGTGCAACATCACATAGAGGGGGATATTTAATATATGGTGTCCATTCTGTAACATACACTGTTGTTCTGGCACTAATTCATTCATGTAACAGACTCCATTTTCAAAGCTAAAATCCCATGCTACAGCATGTCTCATCTTTGTAGACAAGGAATGCCCCCCTAAGCACTGATGAACCATGTAACGTATTCCATCCATAGAAAAATGAGGGAAATACAATACATATGGTTGTGCTAACTTGACCTTTGTCATCTCTATAACTGATATAGCTTCCTTGTATCTAAGTGTCTTGTAGTAAAACATTGCAATAAACAACATATCAGAAATACACCCAAACTTGGCTACTAATTTCAGCATATAACTTGATATCTTTTCAGCCATATACACTTGTTTGTTTACAACTGAGCTAATATATACCTCCAATGGTGCAAAAACGGTTAAAAACTTATATAACATAAAAGCAGTGTTTTGGAGTATAGGGGCTGTATGTCTTTGTAACACGAGAACCTGGTACTGAGTTAGGGGTAAATATATCATCTTTTCTGCTGCATTGAGGAACCTCATACATTGATGTAGGTTTGATATAGCAGTTTTATTTGAACCCAATTCATTAAGTAGATGTTGTTCAAACAAAACTTTTGAGATCAGCATGTGTTTGTTTGTATCAACAAATTGTCTGGGATTTTGAAGGACACTTATAACACTGGACCTGATAGATGGAATATGAAGCAGTGATACTAAACCCCTATCATACAATTCATGAAGCCTCTTGAATAAATTCTTTTGTGATTCATCATGAATTTTACCCAGAAACATGTTGTTTTCTGGAATAAAAAAGTTTGGACATACCCCCTCATACACCCATTTAAGGATAAGTTTAAAACTAATCCAGAAACACTCCAGGAGATTTTGTGGAAACCAATGAGGTATTGTTTTCTGTTGAATCACCCAAAAAACGACTGTCTTCATGTGATAGGAACACAGTAGCTTGTCCTCATCATTTAATCCATTATTAATAGATTCTTTTAAGAGCAATTTAAGCAGACCATAGGTTAAAAATTGACAATGATTCATTGAATATACAAGTTTTTGTTCTGCCAAAGAGAAGGAAATTCTCCATTCATTCTCTGTGTGTTTACCTAGTTTGTGTCCTATTGCTACAAAATGGCATCCATTTCTGACTATGTCCTCAACAACATAAGATGGGGGCCATGAGTGACATCGGTCTATCCATTTGGAGGCAGAAGGGGGCCAACAGTCCGAGACAAAACATTGGGCAACGTCATACTCTCCTCCCACTATAACTCTACTACCACATGGACCATTTTCCTTAGAATTAGGCATAACTGCTGAACATGTAATCTGTCTGTATTTGGAACTGGATATATAGAGTCTGTAATTTATTTTCAAACAAGCATTCTTTACACTTTTCCTGTGTGTTGGTGTCAATAATTCAAGTAAAGCAAATCCTGGTGGGCTTTCAGAACAATCACAAAGAATCAATGTTTTTCTATTTCAGTCGTACTTCTGAGCCTGATCTATGTCCCATATTACTGTATGGTCACCTGGCCAAAACATTAGGTCCATATCTGATCCATGTAGCCTGAATCCTTCTTTGTAACTCCCACTTATAATCACTCTGTCTGCTTCTCTTGTTTTCATTACTTGTTCTATCATAAATTCCCTGAAGTCCTTCATCTCTCTCCTCATAATCACCGTCTGTGAGGACCCAACTATGTGACACAGTTCCACAAACACAGCCTCTGATAAATGCTGTATACCCAAGTCCCTGCACAAAACATAAATATGTGTAAAAATAACTGTTGTTTTTTAAGCATTTGTTTCACTATAAATCAAAGGTAATTTAATTTTAAAATCTTACAGGTCATTGTTTTTATTGTACAACACCTAAATAAATATTTTATCATATAAGGATTTTTTGAATTTGAAGAAAAACATGCTTATCTGTATTGATTGATATAAAGATACATGTAACTATGTAGAAGATTGTTATCTTTTTACTCACAGCCATTTGTAGGAAGTCATTTTCACATTATAGTTCCTGTTACTTTAAAGACTATAATTAGAAGTAAAAAAATCCTAATTTGCACTTCCAGTTTCACCGATATAATTAGAAGTGGAAAGTCCCTATTGTAATTTTCAGTTTAAAAATAAATTTACATGTATGAAATCAATTATATCTTAGTTTGATATTTCTATGAAATATTTATAGATGTCTTTCACTTGTATGATTTTGAGCAATGAGCACATGCAATAGTTTTGTGTTTAAACACATCTAGAGGCTATCATTTATTAATTAATAATTGAAATTATTTAGGAGCCTTCCTTTTATAGTTTAACTCAGAAAGCCTACTGTAAACTTCATACAATTAACATAACCTATGTTTCAAGTTGGTCATTGGGACATGTTATGTTAATCAAAAGGAATGTATTCTTTTTAGCAAAAAATAAACATTAAAGCCCATGGATATGTCAAATTAATTTAGAAATCCCCAACAACTTATTTGTTAAATCATACATTACTAAGTATATTGAATCCTTTGACATCTCTGAGTTTTTGGCTCACCTGAGCTGAAAGGCAAATGTTACTCAAGTGACCATTGTGGCCCATGGGCCTATTGTTTTTGGTCTCATCAAATTCTTGCTAATGAGTTATAACTTTAGTTAAGAAAACTTAAATGATTATCCTAGTCATTTTTTGTTGCAGAAAAACAAAGAAAATTGCATTTGTCAGAGCAAGGTAATGCACAGGCAGTATGTTTAATATTTTTATAAATCATTTTCAAATATTCATGTTACCTTAAAGATCTTGGAAAAAAAACAAAGTTCACGTATGGCCTTCTTCTGATCCTGCAAGTGAATATCTGAAAAATCAAAACTACTCAATTTTAGTTGAAAATATCTTTAATTTACTTGGATCATAGGTCATTTCATATCATATAAAAATGATGTAATTTTCTCTAATATGACATCAATATTTGCATCATTTTCTTTAATTTCTAAAAAAAAAGCAATAAAAAGGCCAAAAATTTCTTCTTTTTTCATTATTTTGCATAGCCCCCAACTTCCGATTGATACGTTTCATTCTATATTTTTTATGGGGGTGGGCTCACATTTTAGTTATTAGCTGAATATATTCAAATTCATCCATTTTCATCAAAATTCAAGACTTTTGCTATTTCATTCACAAAGCCTTTTTTGCAATATCTTAACTTTCCAAGGAATTTTTGAATAGCCCCCAACCTACGATCCATACCTTTAATTATATAATTTTTTTGATCGGGGGTGGGCTCTAATTTTATTTATTAGCTAAATATACTCAAATTCATCCATTTTCTTCAAAATTCAAGAATTTTGTTTATTCACATAGCCTTTTTTGCAATACCTGAACTCTCGAAGTCTTTACCTGATACTGATGTTTAAAATTAATTATTGTCAGACTTTAATTGTCAGTAAATGGGTATAGGGACAAGGCTTTATTTTATCGAGTTAGTGAACCTACCTCTTTGTATCCAGCATCGAATTATAGCTGTACTTATTTTATGAGAATTATATATTCTGGATTAATTAAAGTCAAAAATATATAATTTTTCCTTAGAATTTGTCATTGAAGTATAGATACTTAAACAAGTTTCCTCAACAACACTTAGGGTACCTTACCATGCAGGCATTTGGACAATATGCCACAGTATCATATTTTTATATAACCCTTATGGGTAATCTGAGTGGCCTATATCACAATTTTTGGTGTACTTATATTTAAAAACGATTTGAAACAATGTAGAAATCAGAAGAGAATGACACATACGAATAATGTTTTATATAATACCAAGAGATATGAAAACATGTATTTGAGGAACGTGTCGTCTGACCTTAAGAATGCAGCCACAAATAAAATTACCTGAAAATCCTCCTTGATTTATCATGCAAATCTCTGTTAGGACTCTGTGTGACACCAACAGTGTGGGGAAGATAAACATGTAACAATTCGCTCTGGCCATGTACGCTGTACAACAGAAACTAAAGGCGAAGTGCAAGGATGTGTCAATCAAACCCGCCAAAAAATTTGAAATTTTAATATCTTTAATATGAAATAAGATTTTTAATTAATTTTTGTGTGAAATGCTATTAAAATATATAAATCGTAATATTATAGAGAAAATAATAACTTCAAATATATGTCCAAGTACCTTTAAGGTATTTGTTAAATAATCATACATTTTACTCCTATTCCTAATGCTTAACTCAATTTTATGTTTGAGACTGTGTATTTTTGATAGACATTGATTTATATCTGGAAGATTTCTATCTGAGAATTTTGTTGACAGGGAGAAGTTACAGTTTGAGAGAGACAATGTTCAGACAGAGGCAGACATTAAGATTTGTAATGGTGAGGTGGCCATGTTACAGAAAGAACTGGACGCCATTACAGCCACACTACAACATCTAGAGAATCAGAAAGAACAGGCTAAAAAATTTCTGGATGAACTCGACGAAAAGGTAAAAATTAAATAAAACCAGAAAGAATGGGCTCAAAATGTCTGGACGAACTCGACGAAAAGGTAAAACATTAGAAGAACTAGAAAAAACAGGCTCAGAAATGTCTGGACGAACTCGACGAAAAGGTAAAACATTAGAAGAACTAGAAAAAACAGGCTCAGAAATGTCTGGACGAACTCGACGAAAAGGTAAAACATTAAATAAAACAAAAAAAGAGCAGGCTCAGAAATGTCTTGATGAACTTGATGAAAAGGTAATATGGGTAGACTTAACTTTACCGGTCCCCAGAATTAACATTCATGGGCAAAACTTCAACGTAACACCGGTTGCTAAATTCCTATGTTTACGGCGGCCATGTTGATTTCCCTTGTAAATTGACTGTTGTTGAGGGTTGGATTGAGGTGTACTAGTTCCGTTCGTGTTTTTTTAAAGGCAGAATGGTATCAGAGATGAAGTCGGCTTTGTTATACCCCTAGTAAGCGAAGTTTTTTTTAGGGGGGGGGGGGAGGTTATATAGGAATCACCTTGTCCGTCTGTCCAACCATCCGTCCGTCCGTCCGTCTGTGCAAACGTGTCCGGTCCATATCTTTCTTACGGAGGAACATTAGAATCTACTACTCCACAAAAAGATTACCCATGACCTAAGAGTGTGTCATGACTTTGACACAAGGTTATTTGAGGAAGTTCAAGGTCACTGGAATAAAAAAAATCATAATTCGTGTTCGGTCCATATCTTTCTTATGTATAAGCCTGGTAGGTTCTAATTTCACACAAAGATTGCACATGACCTAAGGGTGTGTCGTTACCTTGACCCAAGGTCATTTTGGGAAGTTCAAGGTTACTGGAAGAAAAAGTTCATAATTCGTGTCTGGTCCATATCTTTCTTATGAATAAACTTGGTAGGTTCTGATTTCACACAAAGAAAGCTCATTACCTATGGGTGTGTCATGACTTTGAACCAAGATCATTTGGGGAAGTTCAAGGTCACTGGAAGAAAAATTTCATAATTTGTGTCAGATCAATATCTTTCTTATTGATAAACTTGGTAGGTTCTCACTTCACACAAAAATTGCACATGACCTAAGGATGTGTTATGGCCTTGGGTCAAGGTCATTTTTGGAAGTTCAAGGTCACTGGAAGAAAAATATTATTATTTGTGTCCGGTCCATATCTTTCTTTATTATGGAAAAACTTGAATCCACTACTTCACGCAAACATTGCTTATGACCTGAGGTTGTGTCATGATTTTGAACTAAGCTCATATATGCAAGTTCAAGGTCACTGACAGAAAAAAAGTTCATAATTCGGGTCTTGTCAATATATTTAGTCAATTTTTTTTATAAGGCTGGGCCTTCGTTTCATTTATTAAAATATAATGATTTACACTAAAAATGTTTTTAGCATTTCTCTTAGATCCAAAAAATATTCGTGATTAAACACTTCTGAAAAACCCAGCGGTGGGTATTTTGTCCCGTTTGGACAGTTTTGGTTTGGTTTGTAAACTTCCGATATGCGGTTGAGAAAGCGAAGGGACTGTGGAGTCGTTAAATACAACCTTCTTACGTAATACTGGGAGAAATAACTGTCGTATAACGTTTTCTAAGATCCATTTTGGGGCAGGGATTTTTTGAGAGCTCTCCAGGTGGATTGTATTGTATTTGTGTGAGCGCCGGAGTCGAGATCTACGAAGTTAATAGAGTAGTTGACAGTTAGGTGAGTGAAACCCTCTGAGTTTAGGGAACTGTAGCCCTCCAACAGTCACTAATGATTGTAGTTCCGGGTTTGATGTGGTGCTTTATTATGGTAACTGATGCGTCAGCTGTTTTGTCCTCAACAGTAGTGAAAAAACACTTTTTGGAATCCTTTTTGTTGGAGCATCTCCATATGTAACAATCCCGACTGAATGAAGTGTCCCTTAGTAAGCCGAAACGTCCATCTCATTGATAGGTCCAGTATCTCACAAAAGTCACAAAATTTGCACACACAGTCTTTCAGATTTATCAATAACATCCCTACTAATGTGTTCGGAACCCTTTATTTTTCGGCGTTCTGCAAATTATAAAACCCGATGAGTTCAGAGTAGCTTTGGCAGTGGCTCTGGCGAGAGCTAGCGTGGAAACTGGGACTATATTTTTTGGCGTCAAATTCGCAAATGAGGCACCAGCATGATTTTAACTGACCAATCAGCTGAATGAGTATTGCATTATGGTTTACTTCGAGTACTACAGGAATTTTACGCTTGAAAAAAGGAAAATTTTATGGTAAATGAAAAGCATTTTAAAAAATATTATTTTCATGCTCATAATGACAAACGATTCATTTCTTAAATAAACGGTGGAAGTCTAAAGGTCTCTGAAAGTCATACTGCAAAAGCGATTTGGGTCTGTATTAATTCCTGTTGTACTATCGGTGAATACAATTGCCAGGTGAATTCCCTGACCGAACACATGATCACGAACGTAAACAAAGTTTTGTCCATTTAAATGCATAAGAGATGCTGCTCGTGTTACTTACCCTTGAAGCACTATTAATCTGAACTAGACACATACTACATTTTATTAAACATTTTCTTTTCAGTTAACAACAGATTAAAAACAGATCAAACCAATAGGATCAGTAACTCTTCCAGTTGTTTACCGTGATCATAAAACTAACTTTCACTTTGAAGTGGTCGACTTAGATCAAGAGAATATCATTAGTGGTGATACTGCAGTTACTCTTGGGTTGATATACAAAACCGACCCCCATCTGCAGACTCCGATATCAGCTGTGACGGAGACTACAGAAAGTGCACAAAGTGAACTATCCAGAGACTATCCAGAACTCGTAGAAACTACAGGAACACTACCCGGAGAATACCATCTCAGTATAGACGAATCTGTACCTGCAGTTATTCATCATGTAAGGAAACTCCCAGCAGCAATTAAGCCAAGGGCAGTTGACAAGCAGAAAGAGATGGAAGCTAATGGATACATCATGAGAGTGGACAGGCCAACAGAGTGGGTCCTCTCAATGGTAGTGAGTGTAAAGGGAGAAAAGATACGCATCTGCATAGATCCAAGGGATTTAAATCGCGCCATAAAACGTGAGCATCACCCTATGAAAACTATTGATGATGTCATATCAGACATACCGAAAGCCAAGATATTCTCAGTATTGGATGCCAAATCTGGATTTTTGCAGATTCAGCTCGACGAGAAGTCATCCTACCTGACAACATTTAACACACCCATATGAAGATATCGTTGGCTCCGACTACCCTTCGGTATAAAATCAGCACCAGAAATCTATCAGAAGATCATGGACAACATGACATCCGGAATCAAAGGTGCGTCTGCAATCATAGATGACATCCTCATCGCAGGTGAAACACTCGAAGAACATGATGCCATACTTAGAAAAGTTGTGGAATGGGCAACAGACTACAATCTGAAATTGAACTTTGAAAAATGCAAAATTCGTAAGTCTAGTGTGCCATACATGGGCCATATAGTGTCGGACCAGGGACTCAAACCAGACCCAGACAAAATCAAGACTTTACTTAACATGCCAGCTCCACTTGACAAGGAAGGTGTCCGCAGGTTCCTTGGACTCATACAGTACTTGTCGAAATTCATTCCAAACTTGAGTGATTTGGACGCTCCACTAAGAATCCTTCTCAAGTCTGATATGGAATTCCAATGGAACCATGAACAGGATGAAAGTTTTCAGAAACTTAAGGACGTGTGTACCAAGCCACCAGTATTAGCTCTATTTGACGTGAATAAACCGGTTGAGATAGAGTGCGATTCAAGTAAAGATGGACTTGGAGCAGTCTTGATACAGGAAGGCCGTGCAGTAGCTTATGGTTCTAGAGCTCTTACAGAAACAGAGAAACGGTACGCACAAATTGAGAAGGAAATGATAGCTATAGTGCACAGTTGTCAGAAATTTCACGACTACATTTTTGGCAAGGAGGTCACAGTGTACAGTGATCATAAGCCGTTAGAGACTTTGTTCAACAATCCCTTACTGTCAGCTCCTATGAGGATTCAAAAGATGATGATAAAACTACAGTGGTACGACATCAATGTCAAATACAGGAAGGGAACTATGTTGTACATTTCAGACACGCTATCACGGGCCTACCTAGAGGAAAGCGGTGAAGAGGACACAGCGAAAGCGGACATGATCTGTATGTTATCCATAACACCCTAGAAATACTCCGAAATCCAGAGATCAACCATAAGTGAACTTGAAACTCTCATGAGCACCATTCAAACAGGATGGCCAGACACAAAGAACGAATCTCCCTTTGAGGTCAGACAGTACTTCGACTCGAGGGATCAGTTATCCGGTCTTGACAGCATTGTGTACAAGGGAAGTCGAATAGTCATCCCACCCAGCTTGCGGAAAGAGATGCTTAACCTTATACACAAGTCTCACCTTTGGATAGTCAAGTCCAAAGAGTCGCACCAGAGAGGTCATGTATTGGCCAGCCATGAATGCTGACATAGAACAGGCCGTAAGCAACTGTCCATCTTGTGCGGAGTATCAGAAACAGCAAAACAGAGAGCCTCTAATGCCAACACCAACTCCAGATCTACCATACACACATGTTGGAACTGATGTATTTGAATTCAGAGGCAAGAAATATCTGATTCTGGTGGACTTCTACTCAAAATACATTGACGCCGTAGAACTCAGATCAGAGACAACAACAGCCATAATAGAAGCCATGAAAACAGTTTTCGCGTGCCATGGACTTTCAGGAAAACTCAGGTCTGACAATGGACCACAGTTCAGCTCAGCTAACTTCAAAACCTTTTGCGCAGAGCTTGGAATTGAACACGAAAGAAGCAGCCCTCATTTTCAAAGCTCAAATGGCGAGGCTGGGAGAGCAGTACAAACTATAAAGATCCTATGGACAAAATGTGACGACAAGCAGCTTGCTCTGCTAGATTACAGAACAACTCCACTAGAAAACATTAATCTGTCACCAGCTCAACTGTTAATGGGACGCAGACCTAGGAACACGCTTCCGGCATCACAAGATCTACTTAAACCAGCAACACACGACCTAAGAAAAGTACAGCAACACCTTAATGTCCAGAAAGCCAAGCAGAAACTTTACTATGACAGGAGACACCCCTAGACAATGGAACAACAGTCAGAATGGAAACGCCTGGTTCAAAGTCCTTATCCCCAGGAATTGTCGTAGAGAAAACGGACAAACCAAGATCTTATGTAGTGAAAAGCAAAGGAAGACTTTATCGCAGAAATCGGGTTCACCTCCACAAATCACGCAGGTAGGTTAAGGTTACAACCAAATATTCCACTTGCCTATATGATATGACGTCATAGTAAGCTATATGACGTGAGGTTTAGAGATAATAATTTCTTAAAATCGATATCTAAGATTGATTTGAAGTCGTAAAAATGAAACAAAATATGCAGAAATATGCAAAAAACATGCAAAAGTTCAACACTACGCCGCTTACCTAGAAACTTAATTTTTGTTTCTATCTAAAGTTCTTATCTAATTGTTTTTGGAAAGTGCTGCTAGAATCGTATGGTTTACGGGAATTTATGCTTTTTTATCAATGTTATGAACAAAATGTAAAAATTTTGGGAAGGTTTTGTCAAAAATTGTTGAATAATTATTTCTATAATAGGATAGTACGATTCTAGAAGCACTTTTCATGGTACAGAGATGTTTTTACATAACTATTATTACAAATTGAAACTAATTATCCCTGGGGTAGTGTTAAACTTTTCACTTTTTCATTAAGGCATATTTTCTAATTATAGACGTCACATGGTGACGTCGTGGTGAAGTGCCTCCTGTAGTATAAGTCCCATTGAAGTTTATAAAATGCATAATTATAGCAAAAGTTTTATTCTTGACTTTTCCGATTTATTAGTGTTTCATAATTGTAAAAAGTGTTAATTCGCCGAATTCTGACCCATGTACTGCCTTAACATACCCGCGCAAGCGAACACCCTCAGGACGAACCGGTTGAGCAGGACATTCCCATGGAAGACAGAAGTCCCAATGAGCCTTCCATAGAAAATGCTGCTACACCTCAAGTCAGTGACAAACCCGCCAATCACAAAAACGCACTCCAAACCAGATCGGAACGACTCGTTAAACCTCCTGAGAAACTTGACTTGTGAAGTGCTCGTAAATAAATCTGTTAGTAACTTTTGATTTAAGTTGCATCTAGTCAGCAGTTTGCACTGTGCTTAGGGGCATAATAATCCCCGTGCAGCTGCCAGAACAAAAGTTCTGCTATGTTTGTTAGTGTTCTTATTTGATTTGTTTATATTGAGTGTTTGAAACAAAATCAAAACTTTTGCCATGAACTATTGAAAGCCTTACGCATTTAAAACAGTATCTGTGTGTTAAATGAAAAGAAAAAAAATCTGTCTTCAATTTTAGTGAGGGGGATGTAATGAACTTTAGTATTTTATGTACGACTTGTCTATAACGGAAGTTGGGGTTACCTGCCTTTGCTATCTCTTTAAAAATTACCCTCCATGTCAGATGTCTGAATGCTCCACTGTACTGTCAGTGTTTAATAAAGTATTCTGTTTCATACACCAAATCGGTGTCCGTTGATATTATATTACAGTGATGACCCATTTAAAGAAGGTACATCTATCTGTATTCTTGCATTGACCCATTTACTAAAGATGATCCATTTAAGGATGGGACATTTACCTGTATACTTTTTAAAATATCAACCATTTAAGGAAGGTGCATTTATCTGTATACGATTGTAAGATTCTCAACAACACATGTACTCAGTAGCCATCTTTAATAACACACACATGACGTCACACATACAAAGACAATACAGTTTAACAAGACAAGCGGCATAACTCTGTAAATCTTGTTACATCTCCCTTTTTGATATATTTGTGAAATAACAGTTTTTAAAAATCAGAGAATATACTGCTAAATAAATGCTAAATAAATGTACTGTAAATTTAAAATGTCCAAATTTAGAATTCCGTGTATTTAAATTACTCCTAACATAATAACAATAAAATATTTATAAAACAAATCTACCGCATTTCAAAACATCACTGGACACATGAATTAACTTTAAGAATTAACTTTAAACACAAAAAGAGTTTGGAAACATCCATACATGTAGACTAACACAACACTGAAATTATTACAGGCTTTAAGTTTGGTATCTTGTCGGTAACACTGATGCTTTTCCGGACCTTGTGAATCGGACTTTTGGATTTGACATTTTCACATTTTCATTATTTTCACATATTTTGACACTTTTACTTTTCACTGCTTTCACTGGCTGACACGACTCTTTAATATCGATAACACTCCTCGAATCTGTATGCGTTGAATCTGCCTGCATTGGTGGAATGATCACTACTTCGTCTTCTTCCTCCCTTGAATTTTCTGGAACGCTCTTTTCCTTGGTTTTCACTAAATCCTTGTGATTTCACCTGAACATCCGGTTTCCTGATTTTACTATGTAGGACCTTGGTTCCTCGCATTGTTTGACGACTTGTCCTGGATTCCATGAAGTTGATGATGATTGATGTGAACGAATTCTAATTACGTCTCCTTTCGCTAATGGTGTTCTTTCTTTGGCATTTCTATCATAATAGTGTTTTTGTTTCTGCTGTTTAGATTGTAGATTTTTCCTGACGGATTTCCCAGGGAAGTTGTTGGGTGTGTAGAGCGACGATTTGGCTGGAATGAAAGATCTGGTTCTGCGGGCCATCAGAAGTTGCACGGATGAAAGTCCCACACCAGGAAGTGGTGTATTGCGACGCTCTAAAAGAGATAAATACGGATCTTGATGGTCTTCAATGGCCTTTTTCAGAAGTTTTTTGGCTGTCTGTACGGTCCTCTCTGCAAGTCCATTGCTCTGGGGGTACCTTGGAGATGATGTGATGTGCTTGAAACCGAAGTCTCTAGCAAAAGCTTGAAATTCCCAGCTTGAATACTCTGGTCCGTTGTCGCTAATGAGTGTTTCTGGAATGCCATATCTAAGAAAGTTTTGACGGAGACATTTGATAACTGTAAGACTTTTGGTATCCTGTAACATTGACAGTTCGAAGAACTTAGAGAAGTAGTCCACAAGTACTAGGTAAGAGTCTCCATTAAAGTAAAAGAGATCAGTGGCCACTTTTTGCCATGGTCGGTTAGGCACTTCATGTTGTAAAAGGGGTTGTTTCTGCTGTTTATTTCTGTGTTTATTGCAAACTTCACACTGTTCTACAAGGTCTTTAATTTGTTGACTCATCCCCGGCCAGTAAAGTAGTTCTCGTGCTCTGCGTAAGCTTTTTTCAATCCCCGTGTGACTTAGATGAATTTTTTTCAGCATTTCATCACGCATAGATAATGGAGTAATGATTCTATCTCCCTTGAACACAAGTCCGTCCGATATGTTGATCTCATCTCTGAAGTTCCAATACAGATTTAACTCTGGATCAATTTTGTGCTTGGATTCTGGCCAACCATTAATCGCGGTTTTCACCAGTTTCCCAAGTATTTCGTCCTTTGCAGTTTCAGACTGGAATCGCACCACATTTTCACATGTTATCGATTTGTTCTCGAGTATATGAACCTCAAAGTCATCTTCTGATTCATCATCTCTTAATGCTGCGCGACTGAGAGTATCGGCAATGTGAAGTGTTTCTCCCGGAGAGTACTTTACTCTCAAGTCATACTTTTGGATTCTTAACATCATTCTCTGCAATCTCGGTGGTGCATTGGATAATGGCTTTTTGTAAAGGCTTTCCAATGGCTTGTGGTCCGTTTCTATTTCCACTACTTTCCCATACACGTAATCATGAAACCTAATGAGTCGAAACACAATAGCGAGTAGCTCTTTTTCAATTTGAGCATAGTTCTGATCAGCCAAATTTAAGGATCTCGACGCATAAGCTATCGGTTGATTTCCTTGTAGAAGACATGCTCCCAGTCCTACAGAAGAAGCAGCTGCTGAAATTTTCACTGGAGCTGACACGTCATAGTATTTGAGAACAGGTGCACTTGTAATTGCTCTTTTCAACTCCTCCAACGCTTGTTGGTGTGTCTGTGTCAATGCCATTCAACATTCTTTTCTAGAAGTTGACGCAACGGTCTGTTCACTGTTGACATATTGGGTATGAATTTTCCTAAATAGTTAATCATTCCCAGTAATCTTTGTAGGTCTTTTTTGTTTTCCGGTCTCTTCATCTCAACTCTTGCTTGAACTTTACTTTGACAAGGCTTCAATCCATTGGGTCAAAACACATGACCTACGAATTTGACCTCTGACTGCCTGAGTTTACATTTTTGTCTGTTAAACCTCAAGTCAACTTCTTGTGCTCTTGCTAACACAGCTGATAGTCTCTGATCATGTTCTTCTTGATTCCGTCCATAAATCAGCATGTCATCAGCTATAGTACTACACCCATCAATGTCGGAAAAGATTTGCAATATTGTTCTCTGAAAAATTTCTGGCGCTCTAGAAATTCCGAAGGTAGACATTCAAACTTTAGTATGAAATGTTGTCAACCACGTGCTCCTCTCTGACAACTTGATTCGGTAAAATCCTGAGGCAGCGTCAAGAGTACTGAAAACTTTTGCATCTTTTAAAGTTGCGGCTACCTCCTCAACTGTTTTCAGCAGATAATGTTCCCGTTGAATTTTGCGATTCAAGTCCCTTGGGTCCAAACAGATTCTTACTTTTCCATTGGGTTTTTCTACAATGACGATCGGATTAACCCATGCTGTTGGTTTTTCTACTTTCGTGATGACTTTCTCACTAACCATCCTGTCTAACTCTTCCTTGACTTTCGGTTTTAATGCGTGCGCAACTCTTCGTGGAGGGTGTACTATAGGTGTAACATTTGTATTCACTTTAATATCATATTCTCCTGGCAAACATCCGACACCAGAAAATAAGTGTTCTTATTCCTTGATGACACTGTCAGTACTCACGGTACTATGATTTTCATCGACAAAATTTACACGTTGGACAAGCTTCAAATCCAGACAAGTTTGTAAGCCAAGTACAGGTACAACATCATAATCCACAACATGAATTATGGCATCATAATACTTCCGTTTGTATTCTAACGCAACGTGAGCCTTGCCAATAGCTTTAACTTCATCCTTGGAGTATT